ATATATATATATATATATATATATTTATATATATATATAAATATATATATATATATATATATATTTATATATATATATATAGAATATCAAGATCAAGTTAGATAACACATTGGTTTTTATTTGTATTTAAAATAATTTAATACAAGTTTTTACCCCGGAACTTAAGTTTCCTAAATGTACTCTTAATACTACGAGGAACTTAAGTCTTCTAAATATGCTCTTAATAGCACGAGGAACTTAAGTTTCTTAAAATGGTTTTTATTGGTTTTATTAATTAAACCTTTTCCATTTAACATATCAGATATTTGAATGAGGCCATTAAAAGGCCTCAGTAAAATACCAAACATAAAAGAGTTGGTCTAGTTCTATTAATAGAGCTTTATTTACTTTCTAATTTTATTTATATCTGAATACTTTGGTAGCGAGATGGCTCAACCGAATATAGGTTTCTAGGGACTATTAACGTTACCTAGTAGATCCTCTGATAAGCCAACCAGATGTGCCAGTCTGATGAAGGCTAAGTTGGTAATTCTTGATAGTGGCAAGTTATTGGCTAAGACAATAACTAAAGACGTCAAGAATATTTTTATTTTATTTTATTTTTTCTAAAGATAGGATTTTATGAGTCTATCGGATTCGCCCCAGAATAGAGCGACAACGAAACACTAAATTAAATCCCTTCGGCGGAAACAGTACTGAGAGGATTATATATAGGCAATGTCTCAGCCTCATAATCCCTCAAGAGTATTGCTGTTTTCACGAGGCAAACCTAACATTATTAAACGGCTCATTTCGTTTATTTATTTCGATATTTACACGATATATAAAATTTACCTACGCGTTTATTCAATCTAAGGCATTAGGATAAAATTATTTATTTCGAAAATGGCAAGTATGTATGATACAATGTATGAACATATGGTATGGCTCTCATAGTCGCTGTAGTGGTTCAGGAAAGGTTGATGGGAAGAAGTGGTCAGTAAATTAAAGTTAAAAAAAGAAAAAGATTTTGGAGTGTAAGATTCGGTCTAATAGAGGCGATACAACTGACTCGACGCATCCTGGTCGGCCCGAAACTGCCGCCCATTGGCCCTGACCTCCTTCAGCAATTACAGGAGTGTCACGACTTCCACGGTATCTGGACCCTCCACGAACACCTTGGATCTTTTCTCCAGCATGTTGAAGAACCACCGTACCCTCATCCGTCCCTGACACATCAACAGATGTTCCCCATACCCCGGCTAATTACGCTGTTGAAATACTACTTCCAAATATCGGTTCAAACCAAATCAACGCGCTTGTTGGTTCCGACTATGATACTTCCGATCCAGGCCAGCCAACACATACCGAATTTATCCGTGGTCTGGTGAGGCATTGGCTTACCCTCATCCTTGCTTCTCGACCGGATTATGACGGATAACCTGGTCCTTCTAGGTATTTCGTACTCTGCACTTAAAGACCCGATCCGTACCACATAGGTGGGTACTCTACTTTGTAGGTCAGAAAGCAAATATATGGAACATACGATAGTATCAATGTTTTGTCAAAACCGGCCCGAATTGACTCAGCACATATCTTCCATTGTCGACTCACTTGGCCCAAGCATCAAACGGAAATTTACTGACCACTTCTTCCCATCAATCTTTCCTGAACCATTACAGCGACTATGAGAGCCATACCATATGTTCATACATTGTATCATACATACTTGCCATTTTTGAAATAAATAATATTATCCCTACACATAACCTTCTCCCTTTTTTGTTTACGTTTTTTTCTACTCCCGACTATAGCACTTGCTAGGGAGCTATACTCGAGAACCATCGGCCTCACCAATTCATAATTGCATATTCACATACTTTTCCATTCCAGATCCAACGGCCTTCTTCCATGCTCTAGTTTCTCATCTTCCATGCTCTAATTTCTCATCTGTCATGTTCCAATTTCTCACATTCCATCCCCTGATTTCTCATTCAACGGAACGGCCTTCCATTCTCTGATGTCATATCCAACGGATCTGCCTTCCATTCTATATCATACCTGTACGTCACAAGCTCTTCTTCCTTCCTTGCATACTCAAAGGAAAAATCTGAGAAGGGTGGAAACATTTAAAAAAAAATCAAATATGAGTATAAAGCCATGATTATGAATTGCCATTTCTTGTTGATACATTCTTCCGACAGACAATGAATAGTAAATACCTAGTTACAGAAATCCCATGTGCCACACCATACCGATTCAATAGTGGCAGATTGTTCTTTCTCATTCAATAATGACAAATATTTCTCAACGGCATATCGCATTTATATATTTCTCCCTTCCATTAATTTGAAAGGGTGTCGGTTGCACGGTAGGTATTTATAATAATACTATTACTACTCTGTCACTCCATTACTCTGTAACTCTCTCTCCGTAGGTATGACAATAAAAACATTTGTGAGAGAGGCAAGCTTACTGGTCGCAGGCGAGAGCGGCAGGCATAGTAGTCACAGTCGAGAGTCGCAGGCATAGTGGTCGCAGGCATAGTGGTCGCAGTCGAGAGTCGTAGGCATAGTGGTCGCAGTCGTGAGTCTCAGTCATAGTGGGTGCAGTTTAACAAATCTCCATTTTTTAACATGCTGCAAAGCTAACAGTCTATACGGGCCTTTTCCCCACAGGCCACACTCCGCCACAGGGCTCTAATCCTAAAACCTCATCAAGGTAATACACTCAGTTGACGTCAATGTAGAAAGCTATGGTTTACAGTGTAGACTATAGTATAAATATTTCAAGGTTGCCTTGTTGTGAGGGTTTTTTGTCTAGTTTATATATACATGAGGATAAAACTACTTTTCAGGTTTTATCCTGCCCAGTAGTAACTACTTTTATATTGCTTTTGTTTTGTTTTAAAACAAATGAAAGAAATACTGCCCAATGGCTTCCGAAATCTGAATCGAAGCCCTGTTGCTACTGGTGACTGGCCACTGTTCACTTTCAGTGCTCAGTGTTCAGTTGTTCCCTATCCCAGACGAGGCTAGAGAAAGGGACCCAGCCGGGTCAGAGTCCCAGAGAGTCTCAATAAATATAGCGTCCCTGAGTCACAATAAATAGAGTGTCCCAGAGTGACCTCTTTGGCCGGTTTTATATATTTCTTCTCCGTAAAACATAAATAATTGTTGTCGACAGAAAGTCAAGTTGAGCGCCCATCAAGTCTTTGAGAGTCTTCTTCTTGTCAGTGATGTGTCTTGAAAGTCTTGAGAGTCTGGACTCTGGAGACAGTGCAGAGTCTGAGACTGGTCGACTGGGTGTCTGAGGCTATGAGGCTTTGAGCCTCCAACGTCTGATGAGGAATCGGATTTGCGCGTGTGATGAGTGATGGGTGGACGAGCGGAAGAGGGGACGAGCGGAAGAGGGGACGAGCGGAAGAGGGGACGAGCGGAAGAGGGGACGAGCTGCCGAGAGGCTGAGAGGCTGAGAGGCCGAGAGGCTGAGAGGCCGAGAGGCTGAGAGGCCGAGAGGCCGAGTTCCGAGAGAGGCCGCGAGAGGCTGAGAAGCGAAGAGGACGAGAGGCTGCCGCTGAGAGGCTCTTCACTCATCAGATTCTGCACTCTTGCTTGACCGGTGCCAATAATATATATATATAAAATGTTTTTAGGAGGCCATGTAGGTTTGATGTGAGTATTGTGAGAGTCTATGAGTATATTTTACGACTAAAAATATTTTACACGTTTATTCTAAAAATATTTTTTGTGATAACATTTTGTATTTTTTTCAACAAACTATTTTCTTGACATTTTTTTGGGTTGTCATTTTTGAACCAAACAATTCAACTATTTTTTTAGCATAAACCCTTCCACATCGTCAGTTGAAGTGTTGGATTTTACTATCTACTACATATATAAATACTGCTACTCTACAAATGTGGCAGTTAATGTAGTTCATTTCCCCCTGGGCAATCACATCGGTATCCGTATTTCAAATAGGTGTCATCCATGTACGTTCGAATGTCATCCATGTATGTTCGAAGGGATTCCTACACCACAACAAGTGGAGAAAATATCGTACGCATATCATACAAAATTTGATATATTTGATGCCATGGGCTCTCTTGAAAGTTGGTCGGAGCCATGCGTCATTTGCAATAGAGCTGCGCAGTTGGTGTGCCCCTGCTTAAAAAGGCACTTTTGTTCGACAGATTGCCAGGTTAGTATTTTAATTGTCGAGAACGAGTCTGCTGTCTGAAGTACCTTTCCCCATTGACTCGAATATCTTTTTTGACGATTCTCGCGTGCGACTCGACTCATCCACTTGTACTCACTTCTTGTGTAGTCTCTCGAGTGCAAGCTTCGTTTTTTTGTGTGTACTCGCAGTCACTCATTTCTTCTTCCTTTCTTCCATCCAGAAAATTGACTGGATAGAATTCAATCATCACGCGCTTTGCCACTACGATCCTGCCACCGGGCATGGTGTGACAAAGCATTCTTCACTACCGGGGTCCATATCTGATAGTGAACGACCCCATTTCAGCAGAAGAAATGACAGTGCAACACATAGAACAAGGCATGATGTAGAAGGCATATTGGCTCAAAAACGCTACAGCCACGTGGCTCATCCATATACCAGCGCAAAGAGAGTTCTGCCCGAGTGCAGAGAGGAGAGAGTTCTGCCCGAGTGCAGAGAGGTGCAACCAGGGGTACTCGATCTTGGAATCAGCACCAAAAGTGGGAATCCGGGGTTCCACTCTGAAAACTTTGTGCGCACAAGTGCCGATATGTCAAGTCGATATAGTGCCCATGGTGAACACCGGAGTCAGAGTTTGGCTTCGTCACACAGTCAGGGTAGTCAGCCGGGGAGAGCAGACGGAAGGAATTATCATCCTTCAATCACACCACAGCTGAGCTTTAACTCGCATGCGAGTTCAGCCCCTGCACACAGACATATAACCAGTGCCCGATACGAACATCAAAGTGGCAGGGACGCAATGTACTTGCCAGAATTCCACAACAAGCCCTCCGACAGTGATAGGACGACTCGAACAGGATCTAACGACAGCACCATGGTTCGTAGCCCTACGAATGACGCACACAACAGAAGAAGCGTTGGAAACACACCGTCGAACTCAAATGAGAAACCTTTTGTGTGTCCATGGGTTTCCTGTAAAAAGGAATTTAGTCAAGCGAACAACCTCAAGAGGCACATCAGAGTTCACACTGGAGAAAAGCCATATGTATGCACTTGGAATGGCTGTGGCAAGAAATTCGGTGAGAGCTCTAATCTGAAAAGACATCTACGGCTACACAGTGGGGAAAAGCCTTACCTTTGCGACTGGGAGGGTTGTGACATGAGTTTCGCAGATGCCAGCTACCTAAAATCACACCAGCGAGTGCACGTGACTAACGGAGTGTTCCCATGTACTTGGGAGGGGTGCGTGAAAACATTCAGCGCACCTGCATATCTCAAACGGCACATTCGAGTGCACACAAACGAACAGCCATATGCCTGTACCTATTGCGAAAAACGGTTCAACCAGGCAAGTAATTTGAGTCGTCATGTACGACGACATACTTCGCAACGTAATGGTAGCTGAGGAATCAGGCACTCAAACGGGTAATTTAGTGACTAAAATTGTATTTGGGTTATCTCCTGAACTAAGGAAGCAATATCATGAATAGACGCGCCGTTGTGTACTTCGCAAGGGAATTCTCTCAAAAAACGATATAAAGATGATTCCGATCACTTGAATCAATGAATGTATCGATCGAATGCTTATAAAATGAAGATACCATATCAACAAGCATACACCCTGCAATTAACAACATGAACGTGACTGCACCCTACTCGCAAAAAACGCCGTCTAGGCTTGTAAACCATGCACTTCAGATTCATAAAAAGCGAAAGAAAGCTTTGCACTACCAAGGGACAAAATGTAAATACAATTTCTAACCAAATACATTTTACATATGTACGCCAATCAATACAAGAGCGTAGACAACTATGCTTTACGAAACAATTTATAGTATACACAGAAGAAAAAAATGATTCATACACAAATTAAAACAAATATGTACAATAGATATTAATCAACAAATATTTACATGTAGATACACTGATAGATTCTACACCTATCTGTTGTCGTACTTGATTACGTTCAAGCCTCTCGCATACAGAAAGTACACATCGCAATGTGAAGAGACGACAATATATATATATATATGTATTCATACATCGATACACACATATATATATATTCATACATACACACACACACATATATATATATATATATATTCATACATATATACATACATACATACACACACACATATATATATATATATATATTCATACATATATACATACATACATACACACACACATATATATATAAATATATGTATATATTTAAAGCTATATACATATATATGTAAGGATACAAATAATTCCACTTTGTTTGCAGGACAGTCTAGGCTCGTACGATACATATACACACATACCGTATGCGGGATGGATAGATACTGATAAAAACTTACTTATTTTATACAGACGGTCATTTCCACGTAAATTTGCATATGATAATATGTAAACGCATGCGTGCATATGAGAAGGTTCACCCATTGGAGTAGTACAAAACGCATTATGTAAACTGACCTTCATTTCTAGCGACCAAGTCTCGAGAGAGTACAACGTGAATCTTGGGCAAGAGTTGATAACGATTGATTTCTGATCATCCAAGCCGAGAAAGTACAGATGCACTCATATTTAAAAAATATTTTATAATATTTTATGATAAGGGAAGCAGGTGTCGATACTTAAAGAGTCCGTCTAGATTTCCTTAGTCTGCAACAGTTCGCGTGCAAATGTTGCGTTTCCTTGCACTCTTTGTGGTTGCATCAATGTGGGATGTACGTCCATCGCATACCAGTATGTTCCAGTGATGCGAACCACTTAAGCACCCACAGACCAGGGGATAGAGTTTTGGGAACCTTATTGTCCATCCATCCTGGGGTGCGCTTGCAAAGGTTTGGAATGTTCTTACGATACACAGAGACACAGAGACACAGACAAACATATAATATATATGTATATATACATATGTGTGTGTGTGTGTGTTTCCGCGTGAACTCATAGCGCAGATTGTACACAGACAAACATATAATATATATATATATATACATATGTGTGTGTGTGTGTGTTTCCGCGTGAACTCATAGCGCAGATTGTACACATACTGTTAGACCACACGGATAGCGTGGTCTGCCTTTTCCGATTGCAAGAATGTCTCTCTTGTGCGCTTGAGTAAGATTTTTTCGTCCCTCACAGGATCCAGCTAGTCAAAATGTTGCTAGCGATCTAGTTTTTCAATAGCAATTGAGAGAACTTAACAGAAATGACGTATGTGATGCAGGCATAGTTCTTTCGAATGGAATACGATCAGCTTTTCTCGTACTGGCTGATAAGCGCGACGTCTACGATGTATGCTTGCTCAGAAGCGGGTACATCGGATGTGATGTTAGGGTGCCGATCTTCTGTCTGGTTGAGCAATGGTGTGCTTTCACCCATGGCCTCGATCTCGTCAGCTTCGTCTGATACGAATTGAAAGAGGTGTTACTTCAGATTGGTTTCTTGGGACCGGTTTTATCCCAAGCTAACTGAATATACCATATAGAATCAGCGCTCAATATAGCCTCAAAACAACACCCCAAAATATAGCCATGTATGTCCTGAATGATGTCGCGTAGGTCGAGCTCATACCGAAGCGAAATTGATCGACGGCACTACAATACTCGCACAATATACCGAATATGACAGCAGTATTCAATTAGCACAACATACCATCGGGAACACCCGTAAAGACCATAGGCGTAAACCGATTAGCATCCCAGATCAGATCAGACGCAAGGTATGACCATTTCACTTGCACGTTGTCTGATACCACCTCGTCAATACCGTCGACAACCGCAATGATCTCAACACGCATGGCTGCCAGGTCTGCGGCCGACTTTCCTGGGAGCCGATGGAATGGGTGTGGGAATTTGCTTAGTCGTTAACATATCAAACGCTAACTGAGAGAATATATCATAATTATCCATAGTTATGCGTGCATACGAATGAACAGCCAACATCCTCGTATATTTGGCACGCCATTCGTGCAAGAATGTACAAATTCGCGCCACGGCAAAAAAAAGTACGAACACGAACAAACGCACACATATAAATAATACATACATATACTTCAACATATACAATGCCCCAAAATGCATGCGACATTCTACGCAACAAAGTATATCGGACTGCATCAGTTGTGCGATATGTTTTGCATCGATTTACAGATATTGCTGGCGACAGGGTCTCATAAATGTATATAACATACTCACCAAACAGCGGAGAATTCTCGTCGATGGGGTGTACCACCTGCCAGGGCAGTCCAAGGTAAGGCTTACTCAAATCCATGAACCGAGCACGCCCCTTTTGGCGATTCAATTCGAAGGCTAGCTCGTGCGTAGTGACGAACGCATCCTATTTAAGAAAATGGTCACCAGGTGAATCGTCAGTATCTGAACCATGTCTTTGGGTGCTCTGGCATGCATAGACATTGTTTTGATGAATATCCAAGCGCATGGCGAAAGGGCACTTCGCCCGGGTGCCCTAGCAAAGGCGGATGAGGGATTCATCGATGCACGTGCGAAAGTTATGACCTGTGCATGAAACTGCTGAGCACACCATCTTCCATAATGCGGGTGTACACTGTCCACCCACATTCAATATAGACAATGAGCATGGAAAGTGTACTCCCACATGTGCAACACTCAAAAGTTTAATCAAGCCACGCGCGAGTCTCATTATAGCGCAGCTGCGGTAGGCGACAACAATTATTCCAGATATCCCAGAACTATTCAGCTCACATTACACCAACATACCGTTTGAGAGTCTGGACACGCACACAGGAGAGTGAACTTCGGCTCGCAGAGAACGGACAGCCTTGCATTGACGAACCGGAATACCAAACACCGCCTACCAGCTTTGTACTCGCCAATGCCTTGAATCATCCGCAGTGAATTTACGAAAACAAATGAATAACGTAGTTGAAAGACGCTCGGATCAAGAAACAGTCAACTTCATGGATTAGTCCCTACAGTAGCCGCGTAAAACGATCTAAAATGTATATTTTTGCTGTCGCAGGCATTTCAAAAGTTGTGTAGTGATGGCCGTTGTATGCAACCTAAATCTCATCTGAAATGTGAATAATTATCTCGGATAGTGTGCAGACACCCTTTGGCCGCGACCTGATATACCACTGCCGCTGATACTTGTTCCGTGTTGATGAATGGTATGTATGTTCAATTGAGGTTCTATGAGATTGCTGTAACCATAGCAGCTCAAAGAGTGTGCACGATTTCTTATATTCTCCCATGTTGGCAACAGGTAGACCTTGTCGTTCCAATTAGCGATGCTGCACCGGTTTGTCATACATTGAAATGTCGATGTGATGGTAAGGCGACCGAAACGGCCACCACTACAGCCTTATCTTCACCGCAATAGAACAACATAAAAAATTCATCGATGGCCAAGTGCTGTTACGCTGACATCATAATACACAATTCAAATCAAATGATTCATGTGTCAAAATGTCTGAGTTTATGACCCGCACATAATGTAACTATTAGTAACTAAATTCAAATATGGAACGTGTACAGCGTGCAAAAACTGGCATCGCTTTGTTGTACCAATATAGTACTCGCGGTTCAATCATATCCTCGAGCGTGCTCCAGATACTATCTCGGAAATGAGTGTCAATAGCGAACGCGTACACGTTAAGAACGATTATCGAGAAGACACAGTTTCACAGGCAGTGTGACTGTTAATATCCATATAAAAAAGCTTTTAGTACATACCAGAATCGGGACTCTCATTCGGATCCATGAAGAACGATGGCTCCTTCTCGGTCACCAAGGCAACACTACTGTGGACAAAGTTGTGCTTCAATCGACTCGGCCGCGATATCTTCGCAAACACTATGCCGTATTGAATCGCGGAGAAGAGCAGATTGCTGTAAGACTGCGTACATGCTACGATGTTGCTCAAGTGAGACACAGGATGAAGTACTCCATAGCCAATCGTGTCTGCGGAGAGGAAAGTAGGGATGTAACATACAGACGTTAGGCCATCGATCGAGCATTTTAGCTCAGATAACTGTAGACTACTTTACTTTGACATCAGATTGCGCGTACACTAGCTTATATGCTAAACATCCAACCATGTTATGCACTCAAGACTACAGAGCTCATTCACGTGTGACGTTAGAGCTTTTGTATTGAAAGAGCAAATACGTGCAAAATTCAATCCTTGATGTACACAAGTATACCTGCTGTAAATACTACAGATCAAATTGAGCCATTTTACCTTCCGTTTGTACCGAGAACCAGAAGCATTCCATGAAGTTTGCCTTCATTTGACTGTTCGCTTTGGACACATATACACCACCACTGGCATAGTATAGCAAACCAAATAGGACGATTGTAGACACGTAGAAGGCAAGCGACACGAGCATTAACTTCCACCAGGTTAAGTCGATGAACTGCAGATACGGGTGCGAACACAAATTAGAAAAGGTTCTCGATGGCATCACACAAGTCCAGTAAACCCTAAAACCCTTAAATTACACATACACACACATACAGACACAGCCAAAAACACACACATAAACATACATACACACACATAATCACACACACACATTTATATATATATAAATATAAGCACACATACACATACACATAGACACACACAGACACAAATACAGACACAGACTCAGACATATATATACTTATACATTGAAAACTGAATAGTTATGGACAAGTTTCACGTACGTAGAATCGGATATAATATATGCATATCCATATATATCTTTATATATCTACATACACAAACCCACGCACACACACACACACATATATATATATATAAATTGATATAATGTATAGCGAGTAGTGATATCTCCAGACTGTAAGATTGAGAGTCTTACGTGTCCATATATGATATACAATTGCAACATACACAATTGAAATAAATAAATACGAAATAATTTTATATTTATATATATATACATATGTATATATATATATATACATGTTTCTGTGTATATACATATAAAAACATAAAAATATATAAATGTAGTACATAAATATATGTGTGAAGTTTTTACATAATATATATTTATACCTATATATATACATATATATATATATATATATATATAACATCAATATATACATATGTATATATGCATACATATATAAGAAATATATGTATACATACATACGTGCATACATTGAAACATGAATATATATATATATCTATAATACCTTTGCATATATAATATATAAGCATTACATTATATACTGTACTCTATTATATATATATATATATAAACGCACACACATACATGTATGTATATATATCTGTCTATAAATATATACATATACATATATATATATATACAAACCACAAAGATGCACACTAATTCAGATATATATATATATTTATATATATATATATTTATAAGTACAAACAAATGTGTATGAATATGTAGAAACATGCATAAATACTTACATTTATATATATATATATATATATCCGCGCACACACATATACATATACATATATATATATATTGATAAATATACATATTGATACATATACAATTATATATATATGCACGCACACGTATATATATATATATATATATAGTTTATATATATGCACAAATACATACATAAACACGCACACACACACACATATATATATATATCTATATGTACATATACATACAATATAAAAGTAGATGTACAAATATTTGGCACATACATATATGTTCACATAGCGACATTTTCATTATTTATTTTACTTATAAATAAGAACGAACAAGACACAAGGAATCTTAAGTGAGACGAGAGCTTGTGTATATATTGTGCACATGTGTATTTTCAATAAACTTTCATGACATCAAATATTAAACAGGAATTTCTACAACTTCACTCAGCGTCAAAGACCAAAAACGTCAACTACAGAATTCCCTTACCGCGTGATAGAAGTCTTTGCTGAAGGGGCTCACACCTTCTCTGACAAGCGCAATCCTACCGGCATTGTTTACCAGTCGAGTGTATGTATGTCTTGTCATTTCTGTATCATCCTGCCTATATAACGAAGGTATTTGCGGACTAGTTATAATTGCCGGTACCTCCATGTTTCTATCCAGTTCCGGATTTGAAGTATGAGGTTTAGCAATCCGCCGTATGCGGTAACTTGCGTGCATAGGCCGACTATAGTGCGGATAAGCCAGTATGTACTAACTACAAGATACATATGGCCGAGGTAGTTATTTGAAGGTCTGAGGGAACATCACTATATCCGTTGATTTCCGTTCGAGAGATTCATAGATGCATGAAAGATTTCATAGACGCATACTATAAGAAATATCTCATAGACGCATACTAAAAGAAATACCTCATAAACACGTATTTTACGAAAGGCATCATAGACGCATATTGTATGAAATATTTTATAGACGCATATTGTATGAAATATTTTATAGACGCATACTGTATGAAATATTTCATAGACCCTTTTATTTGAAAGATTTTATAGACGCATATTATATTATATATAAAATAATTTAGTTATTTATGTAAATAGCCTAGTAGAGGATAGGTATTTTTTTTATACACAGCAACTACACAATATAAATAAGAAGCGAGAGAAGCAAGAAGAATACAATAATGAGTATGTGTGTATAAAATCAATGAATTGTGAAGTACTTGTGGTCGCGTACAGAGTGTCCCGACTGTCTTAAGTATGCTCTTCAATTCCTGATTCGTTGTTACGTTTGGCGCCCTTTCACATCATGAACTAATGATCACATTCGAATTTTAACACAACTAATATGGTTATTTTCTCAGCTAATGAAATCAATCAAATCCTCAACGGAATCCCCCGGTGATTTTCATTGTAATTTTGACAGTATCGGTTGTAAGTTTAAAATTTTGGAGTACTAGTACGTAGGGCTAAGGCTGCGACGGCGGGCGAAGAACGAAAACATGTGTTTGGGTTTAAAAAGAAAAATTATCCACGAGGCTCAAGGAGTCCTTTGGGGTTTTGGCTGTTCGGACTGGCTAGTGAGTGGCTACTCTGGTTCAGGGTTCTGAGGTGGTCCAAAATCGGTGTGGGGTTTTCCTATGCCCCAAGTTGGACCGACCCTGTCACCATCATGTAGGGCAATAAATACTACACATATACGAGTGAAAAAATATGTTTAATTGCCTACTACAAGCAGTATCAAAACAATCCAAATCAAATACTGTTCTCTCACTTTTGCTGTTGTTTTTATTACATTCCCTATATTGTATCACGTATCAAAACTAGCCCAAATAAATCTCAATAGGTGTCAAAATAACCTAAAAATATATATATAGATAGGTGACAAAATTTAAAATCCATGGATGTCTGGGAGGCCGAGGGAAGGGAACCCAACCAGAGTAGCCAGTCCGAACGACCGAACAGCGTTAAAGATGAACTGCAGAAGAGTTCATACACGCGAGTATTTATAGGAAAAAAATCAATTTTATTTCCACTGGACAAAGAATTATCAATACTCGCGGAATAAAAAAGTTTTTAGAAAGTGCCAACGTCTAAAATAGCAGTTCGGTACAGATGTTTAGTCAAACCCAAGATCTAGATCCTTTGTAGGGTGCTTTTACTTCAGTTAAAAAACTGTTATTTTTGAAAATAAGTCTATTGACATCGCCAAATGTTAAAACATACATTTTGAAGTGTTCAATTTAGATCTTAGAGGGCTATGTTTGAAGTCTCCAAAATAATGCCACAGGGAGGCTATGAAATTATTTAAAAAAAATACAAGATATCTTTGAAGCACTCTCTCATAGCCTTCTAAATCCTCTGAAAATCTCCCGGAGGTTTTTGTGCGAAATACAACAGAAGCTGTATTTGTTGTCGTCTTCTGGTCGTTTGATGCCCTCGGCCGCCGCACTCCCATAATGATCTTGCTTGCTCAACCTGTGTCTCTGCATCGCACACAGCCTTCTTAAGTTCCAATTCCTTCTTTGAAAAAGGCTAACCAGCGTATGACTGATTCAGATTATTACATCGACCTATACATACAGTGCTATACGATATGTGCTTTGGTCATATAGGGACACATCAACAGTTTAAATAGCAGGTCTCAAAATTCGAACCACGAGTATGCTCCGGTGTGCTCGGCAGCTTTTCCGCGACCAGTCGCTGCTATGTACAGCACCTATTATCACACTGGTTACTGTCGCGTCACTAGATGCAGCAGATAAGAATCTATTAGCGTCCTCGTTTCCAGTGCTCGCCCGTACGCTGCACCTGGACATAAGCATTCTGGGATACTTCTCGCTATTCAGCAATCTATCGTATGCGTTGGCACTCCCCTTGTGGGGATATCTTATACACAGGTATATTGTACACACGGGACTTACAAGATTAGTTTAGTTGAGATCTCGCTATGTTTAAAATTTAAGTTTCAACTGCACACGCTGGTATCCGTCAGTTCCTTTTCCAAACTGTACATGTATAGGATTGGCTAAAAAAATGATATACTATAGATATGAAATCCGGGCTGCCAAGAGTCAATAGAAACAAACCGTCAAGCGACGATTGTAGCTATTCGCTGCGTAGGAACATCTGCTGTGAAGCTGGTTGTATATTCCGTAACACGTCAATAATTTTATGTAATTGGTTCGCATCGCGTACGCTGCGCATAGGCGACATAGAGTAGACCATATCGGTATTAAGTTGGAGGGTTCGAGTGCAACATAGTTCCGTATACAAACGTATCATACGCAATTCGTTCGCAAAGTATACGGGGCACCAAATTGAAATGTAAATTGTTCATTCAACACTACACAAGCACAGCTATATTAGTTAATTTCGCCGCCTACAGATTTAGTTTAGAGCTACCGCGAATACAGCACGCCATAGTTTATATATCCTATCCAACACATAACATACTTTATATCGTCTCGCACACATACAGGTATGGAATCGACAACATTCATCTGTTATTGGCCACGTCCTGCCTATCTTGGGGCATAACTACCCTGGGTGTTGTCTTATTCGACGAGAGTATATTTTTGCAGGCTGTGTTCCGCGCACTCAATGGAGTGGCACTCGCATCTGTGATGCCGCTGACGCAGACTCTACTCGTGGAGATAGTTCCTTCATCAATGCGGGGACGTGCCTTTGGCTTCATGGGTGTGTGTGAAAAGCTCGCCGGCATGTTCGCCGCAACGTTCGTGGTGTATATGGATAATTGGCAGATACCGTACTACATCATGGCATTCCTCTCGGTGATGTTTGCATTCATAGTCAAGTCTGAGTTGGATCCAAATAAGAGTAAAAGCGATTTCAGAGGTGTGTACCAGCAAGTGAATATATGTGATTCAGTCAAAGGGCACCGAGACTCAAAATTGTCGATTCTGCAGATTATACAACGCATCGCACGCATACCCGCGTTTGTATGTTTGGTGGCTCAAGGCGTGTTCGGAGGCACACCCTGGGATATAATGAGCTTTATGCTCTTACTATTGAATTGGCGCAATTTCCACACGGAACAGATAGTCGCCATACAGATAGCTATGGGAATTGGTGGCACCATTGGTGGTTGGCTTGGAGGCACTCTAGGTGATTGGGCTGCCGTGAGACATGGGAATCGTGGACGGATATACGTAGCCTTCACGAGCGTTGTGGGTGGGATCCCCCTGTATGCAAAATTCCTGTACGCCACGGAATACGAGTATGCCTTGCTATACATGTTCGCTTTCAGCGTCATCGGCTCATGGCCCGGCGCTGCCGCACTGCGACCGATATGCGCTTATTTGGCTCAAAATGCCAGTGAAAGAGCCCAGATTGTGTCCATGTGGATGATGCTTGAGAAGGCATCCGGGGCGATATTTGGCGCTCCGCTAGTGGGGTATTTAGCGAGCAATTTAATCGATGGCTTGCGCGAGGCGGGTGATGGCTCTGAAAGTATATACGCAGACGAAAAAGCGGGTGCATTGGCGTTCTATCTTTGCGTACTATCGTCCTTCTTCTGGGCCCTATGTTCTATGTTCTGGTTGCTCATGGACTATTACATGCCGCTGGGAGATGATGTGAAACTGTCTGTAAATGCAGGGTAGGGGCTCGACTCGTCCATGAAGATTCATAGAATCTCTTGAGTGCGTCTATGAAGATTCATCGAATCTCTTGAGTACGTCTATGAAGATTCATCGAATTTCTTGAGTACGTCTATGAAGGTTCATCGAATCTCTTGAGTACGTCTATGAAGATTCATCGAATCGCTTGAGTAGACGCAGAGTACTACCTTATTTCATACTGGGCTATTCTCCTGGGCGCTGCTCAATTCGAGAGAAATTTCATACCTCGCGCGCTTCGTCCACGCCTAGATGTAAGCACAATTCCATTCTCTTGCTTTGTCACGCGAATTCAGATGAAGATTGCTGGTTGACGAGAAAATCGGAGCGCATATATGTGATTCGGACTCAACAGAA